TACTCATTTCACAATCAGCATCACTGATAACTTTGACAGACAGGAACGTCTAACTTGTACATCATATTATACTCATTTCACAATCAGCATCACTGATAACTTTGACAGACAGGAACGTCTAGCTTGTACATCATATTATACTCATTTCACAAAATTAATCAACTTGATTCAACAGGAAGTTTCTGTTCAACCAGAAATCTTAAAGTGTACATATAAGTTCAAGAAACCATAAAAATACCTTTTTTTAAGGGAAAATATTCAGTTAATGCCACATGTAACTCGTTTATAATTACCTTTTGTTCTTGGAGTTCAATTTGACGCAATTGAATCACTTGATTTAGTTCAACTCTGTCTGCTTCACTCCGGTATGGCAGGGGGTAGTTATATACATCCTCACCAAAGTGAAAAGCCTAGAATAAAAACATAGAGCAAAGAATTCACCAATTTTTCACCACTACTACTATAAAAAGTTCAATCTCAGGTTAGAAAATCATGAAAGCAATTCTTAATCAAGTTAACCCTAGCTTTCTGGACCAGATGGATGTAACTGGTATTCCTTGGTAATTAGGGTTAACTTAGCTTTCTGGACCAGATGGATGTAACTGGTATCCCTTGGTAATTAGGGTTAACTTAGCTTTCTGGACCAGATGGATGTAACTGGTATCCCTTGGTAATTTTCTTTCTTAAAGTGGAAATACTTAACCATTTGACTGAAACTTAGAAAAAAAACTTACTCCAGTTTAAATTTGGCTTTAAAAAATTTATATAGTTTGATTTAGTTTTCTATCACTTTTATATGTTGTGGAATTTCCAAAATTTGAACAAACAGTAAAAATGCTTCATGGAAACAAACCAGGATTTTAGCATTTTAAGTCCACAAACTTATCATTGATCCACCAGTAAACTTATCAATTGCTTTTAAACATTGATCAAAAAGTACCATTTTATATATATATATATATATATATATATCCAATCATTTTAAATTGATTCATATTCATTAACATATCTCTTTGCAATAGTTACCACTTCTAACTACATCGTTATAAATCTTAAAAAAAACAACACAGAAAACTGACAAAAATGTATTGGTGATCCAGCACCTGACCTTTCAAAATGGTGTCAGGTCAGACTAGGTAACATTATTATTTTTTGAAAGTACTCTTGGTCAAATCAATTTATATCCAATAAATATATTTTCTTTTCAATAAATTATACATTCTTTTATCTATATGCTGCTTGCATACAACGACATCTATATAAATAAAGATTTGAATAAAACTGGATCAACTGAATAACTTACCTTTGCCTGATGCACTCTCCAAACTTAACTAGGCTTACCGGATGTCTTGCCGTGCAAGATAATGTCTGTAGCTTTCAAACAAATATAACTTAACACAAAAAACTCTTTCACAAATTAAAAGAACATCTAAAGAAACTATAAACATTTCCCAAATCTGAGGATCATTCCCAAGTCTTCTAAACTTACCATTAGATGCCATTGTTCTTTTCTGCCAGAGCAATGTGTTGTCACTTTCTCATGAAACTACACAATACTTGTTTGCCTTTATTTAGTACTTTCTGTCATGATGTATTGAACAAATGATAAATTGACCACTTAGTTGGACTTACTTATTGTTTGTGGCTCCAGTATGTATTAAAAGTAATCCACTTTCTTTAGCAACTTTAGCCTAAGTTAGAAAATAAGTGAAAACAAAACCATATAATTTACATGTATGTGGAATATCCTCTCAATTGGAGGTGTACAAGAATAAAGATACAAAGCTGGAGTATAAACACTTAATGTATCTTAACACTTAAGCTTGTTTTGTTTGAGGACCACCTGAATTTTCTTCTTACCTATATGAACCACATGGTGGTCTATACACTATGTTGTGGCTATCTTTCCGTAATCATGCAACCTTTCCATGGACCCCCAGTGGACTTCACAGGTCTGGGTCACATGAAGAACTTTAGACAAGAGCTCAAAAATTAAACTTATATTTTAATAGCTTACCTTCAGACAGCAACCCTTAACCTCCATGCTCTCCCAACACTCAGTTTTTATGAGTTCCGTCAGGTACTGGTTCACAAGGTTTTCCTTTTTCAACGAATCTCTCAACTGGCACAAACCAAGGATATCAAATTAAGAAAACTGGTAAACTTGTACTTTATAAACACAAGCCTAGTTCATTTCAGTGGAAATCAAAACAGTGAAAACTAAATAACACCATATCTACATAAAAGTGTGTTAAACAGAGAAAAAAAACTAATTTTGTTTTATAACCATAAGCCTAGTTAATTTTAGGGTGAATCACAACAAAACACACAAAACTTACATAAAAACATGTTTAAAAAAAACTAGAAACATGAGACATGAAAACCCAAAGCATGATAAATCAGTACCACTACTTCTGTAGGACAGACTTCAAATATGATGGAAATAAACAGAACATGGTGGTTTAGTTGATAAATTAAAAATGTTCTTTGTTTAATATCTAAGCTTCTGTTACTTCAGTGTTTCCAAGTAAGGGGGGGGGGGGGTATGGTTGTTTCTCCATTCCCTACACATTATTTGTGAATTATAGCTCTAAAGAGGTTATAATTTCATTGTATGGGTCTTGGTTAGGCCACAGTTTGAGTATTACATTCAGCCCTGGGGTCCTTATGATACGTGGGATAGAAAGGTTATCATATGAGGACAGGTTAAGATCTCTGAAATTGATTTTTCTGGACAAAAAAAGAGTTAGAGAGGATCTGACTGAGGTGTTTAAGATCATTAAGGGAATTATTTTCTCCATATTTAACGTGGGAATTGATAGTGCTGATGTGAAAAAACAATAAAATAAACAGCTGGAATTGAAGGTAACAATTATTGATGAAAACACACAATAAAATAAACAGCTGGATTTCTGTTTATTTTATTGTGTTTTCATCAATAATTGTTACCTTCCCTTCAATTCCAGATTGTGTTTTCATCAATAATTGTTAAATTCCAGCTGTTTATTTTCTGTTTATTTTATTGTGTTTTCATCAATAATTGTTACCTTCGTGAACCAACCAGAGAATCAACTGTATTGATAAAAACTATAAACTAAAATACCTATGATCACTGAATTATATCATAAACTAAAACAATTAGCATGTTTATGAGATGGCCTTCAATTCCAGGAACAAACAAAATAAATGTATATAAAGGACAGAAGAAACTATTAAAGGTAGTTTAGGACAAACAAAATAAATGTATATAAAGGACAGAAGAAACTATTAAAGGTAGTTTAGGACAAACAAAATTATGATTGTATGTAAAGTATGGAGGAACTATTGAGGACAGTGACACTCAAATAGATATAACTAATATTTGTAAATGACAAACCAATGTTTAAACTACCTTTAATAGTTTCTTCTGTCCTTTACAAACATTTATTAATTTGAGTTGTCATAAATGACCCTTTGTTCTGTTATTACTTTGAGTCACTCTGTACTTACCTCCTCTATGTTGGCTTGTCCTTCTTCCTGTATCTTCTGAAGCTCATCTGGATCAAGAGCAAAGTCCAAGAGAGGCAACTGTTCTTCAGGAGGAAGAGTCTGGTTTTCTGCCATTAACTGCTTGACCTGGAGCACATATGTTGTTTTGGTTTTGATTTGAATTTTGCACAAAGCTATTTGAGGAATATCTGAACTAATCATCTCTAATTTAACACTGATAGACTAGAGGGAAGGTAGCTAGTCAACATTACCCACCACCAACTCTTAGGCTACTCTTTTACCAACAAATAATGGAGTTGACCATCACATTATAACACCAGAAAGGGTGAGCACATTTGGTGATGGGGATTCAAACCTGTGACCCTAATTACTCCAACACTCTGACTTTATGGTAAATTCTGGTTTCTTTTTTTACTTATTTTAGTAGTAGTATATATATATATATATTTAATTTTTTTGTTTTATCTGCAATAATAATAATAATTTAAAAACACAAAATATTCAAACAGGATATTACCTACATAAAACTTCATAGTCAGAATGATCAAAAATGTTAACATGACTTTTTATACACACCTTTTTTTTTTTAATATTCTTAAGAGCTACTTCTATGGATCAAACATGTCTGCCTTTTGTTTCTGTTGACCCCTAAATTGGCATCAACAGATTCGATATTCCTTATATATTTTAATGGAACACCACTTGGTTACTGATACTGACCTTTGGTCAATAATCTTTCCAGAAATTATATCAAAACTTACTCTGTAATCAAGGAGCATTCATAGCACTTGTTTCCTAGTCCCCCACACCCCCCTTTTTTATGGGGTTCATTCGTAGAGTTATTTATTTTACCCCTGAATACTAGATTTATTATTAAAAGTAATTTTAAAAGTAAAAAATGCAAACATCCCATTATTTTGTGTCCAGTAATTTTTGAAAAGACACTATTGTATACAAATGTCACTTAATCTATAGTTAATATCTCTAAAGTGACAGGTGCAGTGGCATATCCAAGATTACCTGGGGGTGGGTGGGGTTTTCAACTCAGATGGTCAAATATCCCTGGCTTTGGAGCATGCAAGTGCTACACGATTAAGAAGAAATCTTGTATTGAAAAAAAAAAAAGGAAAAGCATCACCTCCGATTTTTCTAAGACAATTTCTACACTAGGAAGTTAAAGCTCAGATTAACCACTTCAAATTATACTGTATACTACTGTTATGTTACCGAGACATGTGATGTTTCGATAACATAACTCTAATCAAGTAGTGGAGATACAAATGTCTCGACTGTAAAACTCCGGCAAGCACCTAAGCCGCGAACAAGACAATAATAAGAAACATCTGTACCTCTTCTGCTAGCTTCTCCATCTCGGACTTGATACCTAATTGTATCGAATGAAACGTCCGACTTTCTTCCTCTTGTATCTAAAACAAAAACGTCATTACCTAACTGTCTGTATGTATATTAGAAATATGGTTTAGTTAACATTTTAGTTCTTGTAACTGACACTTACATACAAGAGATAAACAGAGAAACCTTGCGTTATCGCAGATTTTCTGGACTCAAAATTACTAGACTTTCTTCCTCTTGTATCTAAAACAAAAACGTCATTACCTAACTGTCTGTATGTATCTTAGAAATATGGTTTAGTTAACATTTTAGTTCTTGTAACTGACACTTACATACAAGAGATAAACAGAGAAACCTTGTGTTATTGCAGATTTTCTGGACTCAAAATTACTAGACTTTCTTCCTCTTGTATCTAAAACAAAAACGTCATTACCTAACTGTCTGTATGTATCTTAGAAATATGGTTTAGTTAACATTTTAGTTCTTGTAACTGACACTTACATACAAGAGATAAACAGAGAAATATAATACTTTAAACCTTGCGTTATCGCAGATTTTCTGGACTATCTGGTTCACTTCTAACATTTTACTATTATTTAAAATGACAATGTTACCGCTATTTATTACCTGCTTGTTTTAAACATTTTGTTCTACTCAAAGTAACAAAATTTATCATCTGATATATTTGGATGTTATCTACAACGTCAAATTACACACTGGTATTAATTATCTAATTGTTTTTTTTATTATATAATTTACAGTTACTATAATCAGTGTCACTTTGCTTCTACATAACACTCTGATATGCATACCATAGCTCGCATGAAATCTATGTTAGAAAACACAAATAACTTACCATCATTATCTTGTAAGCTACGCAGTCGCTCGAATTAACTCACCTTCTTGACTGCCTCTTCTCTACAGGTCTAGATATAATTGGAAAAAAAAAATGATATTCACAAACTGAAATTAAATAGTTTTTATAAAATATCATGGTTGAGTAAACGTTGTTGTTGTTTTTTTACAGTTATTTACAGTTATGAATGAAAAGTATTTTAGACTCATAGCAGACACACTTCTGAATGGTGGCTCCTACTAAACAGAAGACAGATCTGAAATGTTGTTTTTACACACTTCTGAATGGTGGCTCCTACTAAACAGAAGACAGAGCTGAAATGTTGTTTTTACACACTTCTGAATGGTGGCTCCTACTAAACAGAAGACAAAGCTGAAGTGTTGTTTTTACACACTTCTGAATGGTGGCTTGAACTAAACAGAAGACAGATCTGAAATGTTGTTTTTACACACTTCTGAATGGTGACTTCTACTAAACAGAAGACAGAGCTGAAATGTTGTTTTTACACACTTCTGAATGGTGGCTCCTACTAAACAGAAGACAAAG